TATTCAATTTTAAAACTAGATTCAAATCTAGTTGTATAATGAATCATTTAATTTTAAACTAAAAAAACTTGGATCTCTATTTTACACTCGTTTTTAAGATTTAAAAAATATTTTTGTTCTCTATTTTCATGAATTTTCTTCAAAAATACACATTTCCATTTTAATTCACTTTATTTTAAAAATTGACATTGGATATGACAAGAAGTACCTGTCGACTCTTTGCCAGTTTTGTTTTTAATTTTTTATTTTAATTAATTTTTTTTCAGTTTTCTTTTTTTTTTTTTTTCATCGAATGTCGTAGCGAGTAAATTTGAAAATTGCTATCAATGTGACTTCAAAACTTGTCTCCAAACATTGACTAAAAAGTAAAAACTAAATCACTTTAAATTCCAATGTCATTTCTGATGTCTTGTCTCCTTCAATAGCTTTTTTTTTTTAAGTATTAAAAAGGTAGTACTTTAGAAATTTGATCTGAAATTAAAAGCTAGAACAAAAAATGATTTCAAAATCGTATTCGCTTGAAATCGTGTAGTAAACATTGGTAATCTAATTCTATGATTAAGTAAATATTGTAAAAATAAAATAGACGATATTAGCATCTAACAATGAATTACAATACTTCTTTCTCTGGTACTAAAAATACTATCTTTGTGTGTGTACTGTAAGTTTTATTGAATTATTTTTCATAAAACTTTTACTGTACACAGCTACATGGATGGAAATTCAAAGACAATTTTTTGTAAAGTTTGCTTCAAATTGGTATTATTCACTTTAAATGATTTTTCTTTTCTTAATGTAGTGTTTGCATTTTAAAAAATTGCTATATTTTTCTAGGGGTAAAAAAACCCAAAAAACAGCTATTCATTGTTTTTTTTTTTTTTTTTTTTTTTTTTAAAAGCGGTAGACAAAGATTTTCCTATTAATTACCATTAAAAAAATTAACTTATTAATTTCCTTTATGAATTACAATTGATTTCATTGATCACAAAATATTCAATTTGTTTTAAATTTAATGTTAGTTTACCTTACCTTGTTAATATTGAAATTCTGACCCTACATCCTGGACAGCATTTAAAAAAAAAAATAGAAAAAAAAAAGAAGTGTTAGTTTCTAATCTGCATTTGGTAGGTGACCTAGGAACAGACTCCAGAATTCCACTAATGGGTTCATTATTGCCTAAATACCAATATTTGGGAGTATCATTTTTTTATATTTACTATCAATCTCTTGTGTACAGCAAATTAAAGTATACTGAATGGAGTTTGAAATCTGTCAACTTGCAATATTGAAAAGGCTAAACTTTTAAACTAAACAATTTGGAAACTTTTGTAGTGATAAAACATATTCAGAGATGATTAGAGATTTCTAACTGTATTCAATGTTTCTTGCAGCAATGAAAATGTTATTACAACAGATGAACTCAATAAGTTATATATATATATATATATATATATATATATATGTGTGTGTGTATATACACATGCACACACTACTAAAAAAAAACAAAAACAACACTGTTGGTGTGACTAATAGACAACTTGCCAGACAACCTAATGCCTTAGATAAAAAAATCTCAAACAAGGAAAGAAAAAAAAAAAAAAAAAAAGACTTCCAATGCAGTAAATTAAAGTGTACAACACCTAGACTATCTAGACAGAGCAAAAAATGCTTCAGAATGTCAACACTCATATATGAACCTGTAGGAGAATTTAGTACATGTGTGGCTAATGTAAGAATTTTAATGTTGATTGTTAGTAATGGACATACAATCTCTCAAAGGACATGAGAATTCATAACACTTTTTCTCAGTTGCTGTAATACAAAGGAAGCAAACAAAAACATTAAATAGGGTATCTTTTGTATATCAAAGTGTGTATAAATTTATATATATATATATATATATATATATATATATATATATATATATATATATCTTATATATATTGCCATGGAGTTAGTCAAAGAAGTACAAAAACTTAAATATGAGGGAAGTGTTTTAACACAGGATGTAAAATATGACACTGAAATACCAAAGGTGTAAAGTAATAGTAAAAGATGCATTCCAAAATACTAACAAACAGGAAATTTTGTTAGAAACAAGGAAAAGTCCTGAACTGTTAATGTAATATCAATCCTCTTTTATGACCTGGATAATTTTTTTTCACAGATGAAGACTTTAGGCAACAGAGATGTTTGCTCTATAGAAGGATGCCAAGAATACCATGGATGTAATGAACGTGTAAGCAATGAAGAAGTCTTAAGTAAAATGGGAATTAAAGACATAATCAGAAAGAGACAGCTGAAATTTCTTGGAGAAATAATGAGGAAAGATGACTTGGGGAACCTCTCTGATGAGCTTGTGTGACTGGATGGTGGAACAGGATAGTGGGAGAGATGACAAAAAAAACACATGTTAATAATCCCTGTAAGGGATAGGAAGATGTGGATAGCCATGATCGCCTATGTCCTGAAGGGACATGGCACATAGAAAACCTAGCTACAACAATAGTAGTGAGTTTGATTTTCACAACTTCCCTCTTGTGCTAGCAAAACCCAGTAGATAACACAAAGTGATGTCAGATGGTTATCTGAGTAGGATTTTTTGGTAGACCCCATAACACATTTTAATCACTGTGTTGATCAATTGTTTTGATGCTGGAACATTGCTTAAATTTGTCAGCTACTGTAAAGGTCACAGAGCCATTTTAGCACAATTTTACAAAACCTTGTGTAATAAATGGTTACAAGTACATAGCAGGGAGCCTGATGGTAGACTGACTCAGCAAGCTGGGTACCAATGAGTATTAGTTATGTGCACAATTTCCATTGAATGGTAGAATCGGAAAGTTGTTTTATGATTGTACCGTTCAATGGAAATTGAATAAAATCATAAAATGTAACTTTCTGATTCTACCTTGTATATAATATATGCAGACACATTTAGTTTAACCATTATGAAATTCTTTTGTTTTTATGCTGTCATTCCTTGTGGAAACTTCACTTTGTCTAACTTGGGGCCCAAGTGTAAGGCTGTCCTGTGAAGAACAAACTCATTAGAGATTATCTTGTTAGGGTGTCTGACATGGAATGCTATCTGTCAACCTTTCTGTGGTATGACTTGGTTGCAATAAGTATTGAGCCAAGTTGTTGGTGGTAAATAAATTTTTCTTGGTAACTTGACACTTTTCAAGTTGCAAGAGTGATACACTTTCAGGTTTTGCCAGAAATAACCCCTGAAAACACTGCAATGATAGTTTTTGGCTGATAAATCTGTCTGAGTAGTTAAGAATCTTCTAAGTGCTGTATTTTGATCATACTCAGATATATGTTCAGAGAAGCAGTAGTTTTTTTTTTTTTTTAACTGACAATTTTTTTTAATTTTTTTTTTTTTTTTTAAATTTATTTTGACTGGCTTGTAAGTTATGAACATATTGTTGCAAATAGTTTGTTTTTAGTTTGAGAATGTTTCTTTAAATCTTTTGAAAAATGATTCGTTTCTGTTTTAACATGAGCTTTTTTATTTTGAGCTATTTTGAAAATGCTTATCTACTTTTCATTTGTAAACTAAGAAAAACTTACAAATCTGCTTTCTTGAATTTTATAATAGACGGGGATTGATGAATCTTCTTAGCTCGATCAGGGAACACTTCTGGAAAAAATAATCTTAGGTTTGGTCATTGAGTTAGATTTTTGAAAGTGGGTCAGGCTGGGAACTTTATCAATGCCTTGTTTGTCCATAATAAATTGGCTTACTTATATTTCTCATTGTATGCCAGTGTTAATAGTGCATTTCTGCAGTTTTTTTTTTTTTTTTTTTTAATTTTTTCTTTTCAATTCTGAAGCTTGTGATGATATTTTTAGGGCAGAAGATGCTATTGATCAGACAGTTTGAGCCAGATATGCAATTGTCTAGCATCAGGTATTTTTACTGGCTCATTGGGGAAAATTGGCTGATGTTCAGGCCAGAAATTTGGGTTTCCTCACCGCCCACTCAAGATTTTTTTTTTATTTTTATCTTTTTTTTTTATCTTTTTTTTTTAAGAATGCAGAATCTTAACCTTTTTCACCCGTATAAATTTGATTTAATTGACAGGTTTAGTTGTGTGGAGGTCACAATATTTCCCCTTTCTGAAATTGACCACATAGAGATGTTTGTATAGACTTTTTCTGTTGTTTATTAAAATCAGTCAAAGGATGGTTTCATTTTCATTGAAATCAAACCTGAAGCAATATGTTCCATATAGTGTTGATATAATGTCCTGTGTATGACGATAAACTACATCTGTCAGCAATGTCTCTGATTGGGAGGAGCATGGAACCACCTCTTAATTGCTGTTGTTCCCAGGTCTACCCAGACCTGGAGTGCTAGCATCTGTTAGGGTCCTAGCTATGGGCAAATAGTTAACTCCCAAACTGGAGTTAAAGCACTTTGAAAGTATAAAAATACGAGCAATACATTTTTGAAAGAAAAAAAATTACCATCAATACATTTGACTCTTGACAAAAATACGTCAATGAAACCTGATCTACAAACTGATTTCTTGCAAAGAATACATATTCTATTTATACAAACCTAAACTAAAAATCTTGTCAGCATTAAATAATCCATTGAGGCTGATATGCTGTAAAATGAAATAAACCAAACCAAACTAGATATCTATATAAGAAAATCATATTTATACAGATACACATTACCAAACACTAAAACAGAGAGATTAAAAACAAGAAGCAAATGATGTAGTATTAAATTCATGTTGGTTGCCATTATGTATGATTAAATAATACTCTGTTATTTAATTATAAAAAAATGATACCTGGTACTTTTAAATTTTTTTTTTATTCAGTATTTAAAAAGCCTAAAAAGATTTTTTTTTTTTTTTTTTTTTTTTTTTCTTGTATAAATTAAAAAAAAAAAAAATTTGTTTTCTGACTTTTTTTCTCACTCACCATCTGTGAATGTTAAGACCAATTTTTAATTTTTCAATTTTTCAGAATCTTAGATGAACTTTAAGAAAATCCAGATCGGGTGGGGTCTGGATTTTGTGAGTGCAAATTATTATCCATCTTCTGCTTTTGTTTTTTTTTTTTTTATTTTTTTTATTTTTTTTTTTGTATGCAAATCTTCAACTACACAGGAATCCCTCAATTAGTATGGCTATTGGTAACTACAAAAAAAAATCAAATTTTCAATTACTATGGTTAAACTGAAGAATGTTTTACTGCACTAATTTAGTATTATGTATACACTAATTGAATTTTGGTATATAAAAATTTTAGCGCACTAATTGAAAACGCATTAACTGAATGCACATTAATCGAGGGATTTCTGTATATGCCTATATTTCCAAACAAATTTGATTAAATTCAGCTGCCAAGGTCTGTCTTTAATTTTAAATTATACATTTGCAATTTTCAAATAAGATGTACATTGGGATCAAAATTGTGGGTAAACTTTGTAAAACTGGTTTTTGTTTTGAATACTTGCAATTGTCTTAGTTATTATCAAGAATTGGGTGTTATCAGTATGATAGCATTTTATTGGCTATTTCCTGGCATTTTTGGGGAATACTAGAATTCAAATCTCAAAATGGCAAGATGTAACAGACAAAATGATCTCAATGTACAACATCTTGAAAAAATTGAAAATGTACAATAAAGATGTTAAATACAGACCTTTGCAATTGAATTTAACATATTTGCTTTGATGAATTAATTTTTGCTGCCTATATATCTGAGATATATATATATATATATATATATTGGAGGAAAGTTGTATGGCAAAGTGGAAAAAATTTTCATGTGACACATTTTGTCCTTTAGATAAACATATAGTAGAATTTACATGTGAAATGGAAGAAAACAATACTTTGCCTTTCCTTGATACCATGCTATGCTACGTTGACAGTAGCTTATAGCTTACTGCATTCTCTTACATGCTATTACCTTGGGAAAGGTATGAATCCTCTTCTTCGCCTCCCAGCTATAGGTAAAGAGCAGGACAGACTGGGTTCTGTAGCCTTGAAGAACCCAGTCTGGTCTATTGCAGAAAGAAATCGCAAGCTACTGCCAGGGGAAAAAATCTGTCTCGTCAGTCATGTATCAAAAGATTGCCTAAGTGTGTATCATGCATAGCACATAACTGACTGTTCATCAAAAATCAACTAATAAAAATGATCTAGTAAATTTCTTTTCCCATTATAACAAAATAAAATCCAGAATAATCATCAGATTCTACTTAAGAGCATTTAGAATTTGAAGCTCTCAATATTTATATGAAGAGGAGAAATACATTGAAAAATACTTTCAAAACCCTCCAATACCCTATTTCATATTCAATGGGAAAGAAAAGGCTTATAAAATATTCCAAAATAGAAAAACAGCCTTTCCTGACAAACCCACCAGATCAAAAAATATATTGTTCTACCCACAAACTCTCTCACAACTACAACCAAAAAGAATTTATCTAAACTCAACATAAAATTTGTTACAACTACATCTAAAACAATAAGACTTAATCAATACAAAACAAGAAGGAGAAACTTGAAGGAGGAATTTACTCTATCATCTGCAAGGATTGCCAAAAGGAATATATTAGAAAAATCTAAAGAAGTTTAAATAAAAGATTATATGAACACAAAAGAAACATTTTAAATACAACACTTTAAAAGCATTAGTTGCTTCTTGCCATAATGAGACTGACCACAATTTTGACAAAAAGAAAATGCTACTCTAATTAAGAGAGAAAATAATTCACTCAGGTGGGAATGTTTTGAAAGTGCTTTAATCACCAGTTCAGCCACAGTAAATTTGTGTTAAAGTTCTTAAAATGTTTCACCATTCTTGGCAGATCTGTTATCAAAATGTGGGATATTTAATAATAAAGGTAATGGAAAGAAAAAGAATCTAAATGAAATTGACTAGATTATATACACCCCAAAAAATCATTAAAAATATCTTTTTTTTTTTTTTTTTTTTTTTTTTTCCTAAATTTAAAATGCCCAGTGTCTCTTGTACATGTGTAGTCGTATCAACATAAACAAACTTGGTCCAATGAAGTCCTAAGGGATGAAACACATCACACACAAAACTTTTTCCACTTTGTTATACATCTTTTCTTCAAAATTGTTCTTGACATATAAAAATTTATATAAAATAAATAAATATATATATATATTCCTTGAATTTAAATTTTAAGAGAAAAAGATACATTTTAAAGCAAAATGACAAAGCTTTAACACATTTGAATAGAAAGATTGTTCCTTGCTTATTTTTCTTAAATGTGAGATTCTAATCTTGAACATGACCAGCCATTGTATCCTATTAGGTAAAAGCTAATGTCACTTGTTAGTTTTGTTATGCTAAAGCAAATAGAAATATAATATTAAGTGAAGTCTGACCTATAGCTAAACAGGCAACAGCATACCAATCAGCCATCATCCTACTGCTGAAGTACTTGGGTAAAATGATTTTAGAATACTTAGGTTATTTTTTCTTTTTTTAATGTTTGTAGTCATTTTCAGGAGTCACATTTCTTTTTCAAATACTGTTAGTGCTTTAAACTCAGTTTAAAAAATAAAAAGCTAAATTTAATATTTTGAATGTTTATTATATTTTAACAAGACAGCTGTGTGAATAAGAGTATTTTTGTGTTTTAAATATTTCTGTTCTAATTCAAAAGTTTATTAAGGAAAATTTAATAAAAAAAATTTTTTAACACTCTTTGAAAATGTTAATTTTGTATATTTAGAAAAAAAAAAAAACCTCATAAAAATTAAAATGTTTTGATTTTTTTTTTTTTTTTTTTTTTCTCCATGGGTAATAACTAGTATGAATATTAAATGAGGTAAAAAAAATAAAAATGCTCGATAATATCTGAACATTTAGAAGTTAATTTGGTATCAGAAAGATTAAAATGGTGTGCCTGAGTAACCTTGATTTTCTGTCTGATTTTGTGCAGTGTCTGTTTAACTGCCTTTTCTTCCTGATTTTGTTCTATTTTAATCATAATTTCTTAGCTAGTAACTAATTTTAATAATCAAAAATTCAAAGCTGTACTTAATTCCTTTTTGTTTTGTTAACTACAAACTTTTGTTTACCTGTGGAAAACTTGAGAACTAGCTCTAATGATAGTGTCTTTGTGGTTCCAATTTGTCTGTCATTCATATGGCTGTCAGATTTTTTTTCTTTCTTCTAGAAAATGAGTCTTGGGAGAATAAAAATTCTGGTTACCCTGAATGTAATGGTTGCTGAGATTGTGTGCCTGCAAGTTGCAGATTGTACATGTGTTTAAGATATATTTTTTCATGTATGTGATAATAAATGCACATTTTGTGTTTGAAATAATTTATATAATACATACAGGGTGTGGCAGAAATACCTCCGACAAAATGTGTTGGAGATGTTTCTGTCACACATTGTGTGTGTAATATATATATATATATATATACATGCACATAAATTTTTAATAAATAATGCACTTTTACAAGAATTTTCATTTTTTTAAATTTTAATTAGTAAAATTTATTGTTTTGAATCTTTAAAATTTTGTATTAATTTTACCCTTTTAGATGATATTATTAAGTGAAAACCATATTTACTAATCATAAATGGAAAAGCTTAATACAAATCATCAAACACCAATATTTTTAAGATTTTTAATTTTTTTTCATATATGTATAAATGTGCAGATTTTTGAAAGTATGGGTGATCATACATATTATTATCAGAAAATAAGAGCAATAAACTATAGTAAATTTAAAGTCAACGTTTCTAAAATTCAATGAAACATTAGATTATGGAGAATATTTTCCTGATTAATGAGTACTTAAAAATGATATAACAAAAAAAAAAGGTGCTCACATAACCTGAATTTCATGCTCATGTGATCATTAGACAACTTGAATGCTGATGAAAGAAGCGAGGGATGAACTTCATACAACCCATGACCATAAATTACCCTGAAGCATCATGTTGGGGGGAAAAAAATTAAAACAATAATTTCATTTAAAAAATTCTTAGATAACCACACATTCACAGTGAAAAAAGAAAAAAAAATATATATATATATATATATGTTGTGTGTGTGTGAGGGGGGGGGGGGGGCAACATTTTTTTTTTTTTTTTTTTTAATACCATTGTTTGCCCAGTACAAAGTCCAAGAGCCACTCATGGTAGAGTGTCACTGAATGAGGTTGTTGTAAGAGTGGGAGGAAGTATGAAGTGTATATTTTATGGATATGTAAAACAGATAATATGTTAACTCTGAACTTGAATAACTTAAGATTGTAGTGATTAGGAAGGATCCTCTTAGGAGTTCGTTTCACAAAGTAACAGTTCTTGGGAAGAAGCTGAGTGGGATTTCCTCTTTGTCAGTGGAATACGAAGGAAGTGAGTATAATTCAACCCTGTTTATATGGCATGGTGGTTCCTAGCTGTAAAGGTCTAAACTAGTGGAATTAATGAATGTAGTTTGTTTGAACATTTGCCATGGAAATATTGTTAGTATTCAAATGTTAGCTATGTTTTGTCTGGATAATAATTCATTACCCACAAGGCTGCATGAACATTTTTCAAACTCTGTCAGGCTGGAAAGTTATGAGTGGGAAGCTCCAGCCAAGATAAGGCAGCAGTACTCCATTTTTGGTCTGATTTGACTTTTGTAAGGATAGAGCTTGACAGGAAGAGTTAAATATTTTTTAGAGCGACACAAGGAACCAACCATTTTTGATGGGTACTATACTAATATATGATGGTATAAGATAGTGGAATCCTTATAAATCTTAGATTTAGCTTTGGAGTAAAGGTCTGTACAAAATGAAAATAGTTACCATAATATTTGTTTGTGCTTTTATCAATCTATGGTAGGTGTATAATAAGTGGGATAGATGTGTTGAGTTATTACTGTTTAATTTAACTCAGGATCTATGACATCTGATAATCTGACCAAGCCAACCTGGGCTACAAGATTTGGCCATGTGCTAATAAGACTTGAAGTTCTTCAACACATCTTTGTAATTTAGTCATCAAATATGTAGTATTTGTATGTTTTGGTAATACAAGAAAAAATGGATTTAGTTGTCAATAATGACTTATTCATAATATATGATTAATGAAAAAAATATAATTTGTAATATTCAACAACTTTAATCAGATAGCCATGTTCAAATTCCAGTAGAGTTCATTACATGCTAATACCCTTGGGAAAGGTATGAATCCATTTCTTCCCATCCTCCCCAGATATGGGTAAATAGCAGGACAGACTGAGTTTTATAGCCTTGGATGGCAACTGATCTAGAAGGACAACTCTGAATTCAAATCCAGAGTTACTAAGGCAGTCTGATATAATGTTCAATTTTGTTCTGGCAACTCCTGCAATGATGCTGGTGCCAAGCTGTATTGGCATCTGGCTTTCCCTTGGACAACATTGGTGATGTGAAGAGAGATATACTGCATGGGCAACTGCTGATCTCTTATATATAAAAAAAAAAAAAAAAGCAGGCCTGCATCCTGGAGAGGGTATAACTCTTTGACTGCAGATCCATGGTCTCCCAAGACTGACCGATGCCATAATATTCAACAACTTCATTAAACATGATATTCAGCCTCTTTTTTTGTCTTGCTAGTTTTCTTGATTCTGTTACTCTTAGATTTCTGCAATATCCTGGCTCTGATAAACGTCAAAAATTTATTGGTGGCTAAATACTGGTTGTGGCAAATCTATTATAACCTTGTTAAAAGTTTGTTGGGTTTTATTCTTTTTTTTCTCATAAAATCAGGTTTAAAATAGAATTAAATCGAGGCACCTTGTGAAATCTGTACATTTTAATTTTTCAACAGAAAATCATTTTCATAAGACTACTGAAAGTGAGATACTCTCATTAGGTGAATATAAACCATTTAAAGTATCTTGTGATGTGTGAAGGTAATATAAAGATTCTCAGCAAACTAAATTTTAAATTTCAGTTAAAGGTGTTTGTATACATTTAGCTCTAATACATTTGGGAAAGGTATTAATAAGTCACTTTTCTATATATAACAAATATTGTTTATATCTAACAAAACATGTTGATCAGTAAATTACTGGAGGATAATATATTTAAGGCATGTAGGTTTTGTAAATAAAGTGCTTAATATTAAGGAATAGAGTATTAATAATGAATAGATAAAAAGTTCAATGGCTTATTTTTTTGAAATGCATCATATCTGTTAATAAATTCAATAGATTTATTTCACCTCTGATGTGTGCCTTTATCTCTGCAAAGTTGGAAGATAAATCATTGAGCCTTTTTATTTATTCATTTTATCTACTGTATTTCACTGCTTATATGACACACTTTTTTTTTTTTTTCTATAAAATATCTCCAAAAACTACCCTGTGTCTTATAAATCAAAGATCCATGATAGGTGTTAAGTTTGGGGTGTGAGGTGAGCATCACTTCCTCAGTTCAGGGCACTTGAAAGTAAAACAAGTCTAGTGTTTCAAAATTAAATTAACATTTTGAAGTTATGATACTTCAATTAATTTTAATATAATATTAAAGGTCACCTGTAATAAAATGTTGCCTATTTATGCATACTGTTTATGTGAATTCTGAATGCCTGAGACAGACTAATGGTGCTATAGAAACATGCCCTTCTCATAGCCAAAAACGACGTTTTCATCACGTGTTGAGTGGTGGTGCTGGTAGTGTTTTAAGTTTTAAACAAACCTAATTTGTGAGAACATTATTTTCGGTAAATTTTACAATGTAAACTCAGTGCTTGTCAAGATTACAGGTAATGGGGAATTCCACCTTTAATACCCATATATGGGTATTTGGCCGCATGGTTAGAACATATGCTTTCTGACCCTGAGATCCGGGTTTGAATCTCACCAGTAAGGTGACTTCTTGATATTATCAGTCTGGAGGAGACAATCCCAACATTGGCACCTTTGCCTGAAAACCATACTACGGGTTGACCCAAACCTTGTGAATGAAATTGGTAGATGGATCCCTTGGTAGCCGTTGGTGGTTGTGCTAGCATGAAGTCACAAGTCATCGTAACTGAGGGTTTGAGCATGCTAGCCTTGTTCAGTCTGTTGATCATGCTAGATAATGCACTCTCTCTCAGAAATTGTAACTAAGGTTTGCTCAGCATAGTTACATTATAATCCACAGGATGACACAAATATGCCTGAGCTGGCGTCTGTAATGGGGATTAGCTAGCCACCCTAGTAGACTGGCATCCTTGGATATGAGAAGCTGTACTAGTTATGCTTACCAGTATAAGTATACGGCAGTAGAGTAAGCACTGTCATACTGTTGTGGATCTAGGAAGGCTGCATGAATATTTTAATGTTTCACTGTAAATAAAACATGCAACATCCACAAACATAAATTATAAAAAAGGGTCAAATGGTAACGATATTCAATTATGACAAAAAGGACAGCTTTGGTGCAACATACATATTTTTTTATATGCAGAATATTACAATTTTGTTTTGTAAAGATGTGTGCAAAAGCTTGATCAGAGTATTTTTAAAGAGAAAAGTTCTTGTTGCTGAATTGGAAATGTTTTGTATGTTTGTAATAATGTAGTTTGGAAAATTTTGTATGTTCGTGCATGTGTGAATATGTTTTCAGAAGTGCCTGACTGCACGTGGTCAAAACGCAAATCCTTTAAGGTTACATTTTTGTAGGCAAATGAAATCAAGAAAGAAGAGAACAAACTTGTGTCTGGTATTTATAATTAATGTAACCACTGAAATGCTTTGGATGAGAATAAGAATATTATAAAGCAATTGATTGTGAACAGGACTTTATACACTTTTGAAAAGTGGAGGGAATGCTGGGTTAAGTGTATAGGCTGAGAGAGGACTAAGGTGCCATTATCCTAGGGAGGTTTTTTTTTTCCCCCCCACTAAATTTAAATAGCATAATTATTTTTTGGACAAACCTTGTAAATACAGTATAAAAATACAGTATGTATATCTTTTTAATGAATTTATTTCATTTTTAAGTGTATAATTGTCAAAATGGTATCTTTGCATAAGATTAGGATTTCAGATGGTGTAGTGGCTGTGTATTTTAATTTTTCTTCTGTTTCATAAAATACAATAAATTTTCTGACACAATTTAACTGTATGTAATTTCCAATATTTTTTTCTTTCAGAAAAGCATGATAACATTATCAAAGAAACTCAAGCAACAACAGGAAGGTACAAATAAAGAAGAAATTGAACACAAAAGAATTTCGATCCGTGATCAGCTTCTTATAAAAGGTAAATGTGCTTCAGTTAACTTGTAGTTTAAGGCTGTAACCCTCTAGTCTTTAATCACTGAAAAGAATTAAACATAGTCTAAAATGTAAGTAGTACAGGAGCAACTTTGTACTAACCATTTGCTACTGATTAGTACTGTTACACAGCCATATAATAATAGAAATTATCTATTATTCATTTCTCTCTAGTCTTTTTTTTTTTTTTTTTTTCATCTTATGGTTTTTGTTAGGATACGAAGCAACAATAAGATGAAGAAAATTAAAAATTATAGTAAAAAAAAAAAAAACTGATTAAAGAAAATACTTTGAGAATTCAATTCATTTATTCATTACAAACATTTTCTCTTTCTGAGGGTGTAAGCCAAGAATAGAACAATGTGGTTTCCTCAGAGACCAAATAGTAACACTGTTAAATTGACTGCAGTACTATATTGACAGCAAGGTCTCATCATTTTACAGTTGAAATGACTTATTGCTTACCAGAGAACTTTGTTGAAAAATTTAAATACAATGTCAATTGTTGTCTTAATTCTTGTTCTTTTATTTTCCTATCTTCTTAATAGTATCTAACACTCAGTAACCTGTTGTGTCTTAGTGGCACTATTGCCTTACTTGAGTGAAATCATTTTAAAAAAAAAATAAATGGGTATTAGATGCAGTAGCGTGTGGAGGACAAAATGAAGAGAAGGAGCAAATTTCAAAAGGGGGAATGTTATATAATCGTCTCTTAGTATTTAATGTGTTAAAAATATTTATAATAAAAACGAACAATATTATTCCTACTTTACACTATTTAATCGTTAGATTTGATTTAGAGCATTGTAAAAGCAGCGTTGAGATTTAGAAGAGATTAGCCAAAGATTAATAATCAAAATACTTAATCTTCAGATTAAAGTCATTTAAGAAACTAGCCAAATACCTTTTTCACAAACTTGAAAAGTCAAATTGTCATAGAATTTCTCTTACCGATTTAGAATATCTGTGTCAACATTCTTTTCACCAAGGTGTCTATTGTCTAAAGTTCTTTTTGTAGTGATGCCTCTTTGGGGAATCTGTCTAGCATAATTTGAGAAAAATATTTTATACAAGTTTCTGTTGTTAACTAGGGCAAAAATGGTTTGTTAATTTTAACACCTCCAAAATGAAACTGCTCTCTCTTAATTGTCTTAGAGAACCTTTTATCAGCATAGCTGATGCTAATCTTGAGGAGAGTGACTCTGTGTGCTTTTTTGGGCTAATGTTTTCTGCTGACATGAAGTGGAAAGATTATATTGAATCGATTGCTAGGAATGTTGGTTCATTGTTGTGCTAGACAGTTTTTTTCTCGCCAGAATCTATCTTGTACCTTTATAAATCTCCCATTCATCCATGCATTGAATATTGCTATCACATCTGGTTTCATAAAATCCAAAGAAGAATCTGCAATGTTATTGGTTCTGACGTTTTATCTTGGCTTCAGTTGCTCTCACACAAAACATCTCTCAATCAACATAACAAATACTACCAGACATAAATAAAAATGTTCACCAGATGCTCAGATGCATATACATTTTCAACCAGATCTTATATAGACCAACTAGAATTATGATGTACACACAAAATTATATACACGAATGCTGCTTGTAGCAAGGTCTGCTGAACCAATGAAAAACAAACGACAGAAAAATAGAAAATACCAGAATTTTCTTTTCCCTCTCCACAGTTTCTTATGAAGCTGAAATAAAAACAAAACCTATGAAATTTATAAATGTTTTCTATTTGTTCCTTATCCTATCATACCATCGGATTCTAATCCATATTTGATCCCAATTCCTATATATATATATATATATATATATATATATATAATGACATTTTTTATGTTTATATGTTCTTTTTATAGATACAAATATTTAAGTAAATGCTGTTTATAATAAACAGTATTAACGACATTTATCAGCCTGAATGTCCGAGAAATTTTCATAGAAAATATGCGCCTCCGACAGAAATCGAACCTGTATCCTATAAGAATTGAAAAATAAATATGATGATAGCTTTTTTATTAATTTAGCTATTAGGGTAGTTTAGTTCAGCAAGGTCAATTTTACTGTTTTTAAACTACAATTCTCCATGGCAGTAAAATCGACCTTGCTAACCGAAACTCTCCTTTGTGACTAAATTGGTAAAGTATGTCAGGCTACTATTAATGAATTCAAAGTAGCATTGAGAAGCTTTGAAGAAACTGAAAAGATTATTCAGGAGAATAACAGCGAAAATACCGTAATGACACTCCGAATGCCGAGAACCAAACCACAAAATGATGTTCCTACCTGTTTTACTTGTGGTAAACTTGGACATAAAAGCCCTGACTGCTGAAATAAATTTTGGAATAACACAGTAAATAATTCCCCTTTGAAACACTATTCAACAAATTAAAATATCATCTGTCATGCTTGTTGAAAGCCTGGGCATAAAAGTACCAAGGGCAGAAACAAAAAGAAAGCTCATTTCATTAAAAAAATGGAACATGTTCCAGATAATGAACATTCATTTTTGCTTTCAATTGCACTAGACACCATTTCCAACAAAAACATTCTACTTGACAACTGTGGCATTACCATGCATGTGATTACTGATGAATCTAAATTTTTTACTTCAATAATGGTTTTAATTCAGAAAATAATCATATTGAACTGGCATATGGTAGCCGAAACAAAAATATTGCTTTAAAAAGAGGTGATGCTCAAATCGCTATAACTGACATGGAAGGAAATATGCGAAATTGCATTTTAATGAATGCTATATACATACCTACATTCAAGCTAAGTATATTCTTGGTACTAAAAAAGAAGCTTCTGTAAAATTTGGCTGTAATTACTCAGAACTTATCTACCTTAATGATGTGAAATTCGACCTAAAAAGAAATGGATGCCAACACTATTTAAATACTGCAGTAACCTTCAAGATTGCTACATGTAGCCTAAAACAATGGCATCAAATTCTTGGATGTTGCAATCTGAAAGACATACAGCTGAGGAAGGCATGAAAATTGTTGATAAATCAGATTTAAACTGTGTATCCAAGACAATATGGTATATTATAAAAACAAGTTACTCAATGAAAGGGCAACTAAAATATTAGACCTTATTCATTGTGATCTAGCTGGGTCGATCAAACCAAAATCTTTGAATGGCGTCAAATATACACTTTGTTCCATGGACGATTATTCTGGTCTTATTGTGGTTGATTTTTTTTAAAACAAAAAATGATACTTTTCTAGTCACAAAAAAATGGCTGACATTGGGCTATAAAACATCTAAGAAGTTATAACGGCATAGAATTCACTTCTGTAAACTTTGAAAATCTTTTGATTAATAATTAAATTAAACATGAGAAATTGGGCCCCATACTTTGCACATCAAAATGGTACTGCAGAGTGGTGTTGGCAATCTTTAATTGAAATGGGTAAATGTCAATAAATAGAATCAAATCTACAAGTTTTTGTTGTTGTATGCTATTATGACTGTCATATATATTAAAATCGGTGTTACAGTCAAAGAACTGAGAGAACAACCTTCAAAATGTTCACAGATCACAAACCTAACCTCACGAATATGTATAGGTTTTGGCACAATTTGTTATGTGTACATATGGGATAAGAGGAAACTGGACACTTAAAGGTGAAAAAGCAATTTTTTGTAGGCTATGATAAATCAAGTCCTGTCTATTTAACATTTATACCTGAAACTAAGTATGTCAAAAGAGTCAGGTGTGTAAAATTTACTAAAAACTTTGAAAATCTTACATCTGATGATTCTTTACTTTTGCTTGAAGAAAATGATGCAGTACTTCCCAAGTGGAGAAAACACAAAAAGGTGAAACTCCACAATTGACAAATACAAGTGATAATATGGAAGCTATTCCTAGTGCAGAACTACAAGACAGTCGATATCCAAGCAGGTTACAAAAAATACAGATAATGTGCCAAACAACAAACAAATATGAACAAAAGCTGGTCACTTACTTTACATGTATCATGCTAGATAACTTCAAAAAGAAAAAAACCTCCATATAGGAATGTATATTTATTTTGTGTTTTTAATACAAAATTGTGGTGGGAGTGGGGAAAGGCCAATACTCAGTAATTATCCAAGTCCTAGTTAATCATAATCACGACCCATTCATTCAATACAATGTACTTAATCAACACAAGAACTTGTTCATCACCACTCAATCCTACATGTACCACAATACTGCAAATTTACAAGGACCTACAAAACACACCATGTGCTGTCCCTCTGTATAGGAATCACTGCAAAACATTCCCCATCTCCTTTTATAGGCAGAAGTCCACAAATGTATGCTGGGATATTTTTCTTAGTCAATAAAATAGGTTGGTTTATGATTTGACTTATCTCAGTCAAGATCTGCCTTGTCTATAAGACAGACCACTGCGTTCACTTGCTTTTGTGCATAGATGCCAATTCGTAGTTTGTAAACTTTTTGCTTTCTTACCTGTAAATTTGCTTTGCACACATTGTTTGCTCGATACTTTTTCCTTTTTATTGCAAACTTTGTTAATTCTGTTTGTTGGACAGTTATTTCTTTTCCATTTGACCATGGCTAATAACTCATTAGAAATATACATTTTTTTTTTATATAGAAAAAACCAACTATTTTGTTTCAAAATTTCAAATTCCCAGCCTCTCTCATTCTGGTGCATGTATAGTCACATTGACATAAACAAAACTAGTCCAATAAAGTCCTAAAGAAAGAAATAAGCCACACAATAACTTTTTCCACTTTGTCATATATCTTTCCTTCTAAATTGTTCTTGATTATATAAAATTTATATATCATCTATTTAGTTGGATTGATGTGAGTTTGTGATCTTGAGTTTCATGCTACTTGCAAATAGTGTGAAACCCAATCCAACTAAATATGTTAGCTCTATCACTGATATTGAGCACTTTCAATAAGTACCGTGGCATATATATTATATAAATAATATATATAAAATATATATATATATATATATATATATATATATATATATATATATATGGATATGAAAAAAATATATGGAAATAAATTTATGCATACTATATTTAAAAATAAAATCAAAAAGACGGCGGACATTTTCAAGATATCTGTTTGAATTAGATATCTGTTTGAATTCCAAAGTCCATCGTTTTTGTGTTAAATTGTTATGTTATAATGTTAATTATGTTTAAATGAAAATGTCCATGAAGATGGTCTTAATAGACCAAACGTCCGACGTCGATTTTATTTTTAACATTAATAATGCATATTCAGAATTTTGTTTTTTTCTGTATTTTTTTCATATATATATATATATATATATATATATATATATATATATATATATTATATATATATGATCTTGATCAAAGTTTGGAAAATCAATTCAATTTGTAAAATTAAAAAACAAACCTGAAGAGGGTTTCAGAGAGTGTAGGTGATTACTGTCATCCCCAAAATATGAGAATGAGAACGTCTCCTTTTGCTGGCAAAGAGTAGGTCTTCTCACTTTTTTGAAGCATTCACTATCAAACTGAGAAGACCTACACTGATGTTTGCAAAAGGACTCTTTTTCTTTATTCCTTTCTGATTAAGGACTGAATTTTGAGATTTTTTTAAACCTTAAACTGTATGTGGTGAATTTATAGAGAGGAAGGAATTGTCAATGGTCAAGTTGAAATTCATCATGGAAGGCTCTGTAGTTCTTGTCAATCCCCTCCAAGATCATCCTCAGGAGTGAATTGCGAAGACAAACTTATAATCATTGTAGTGGTGATTTTTGTAAACATGCTCTATGATAATTGTTTTAAAATTAATCATTGTGGTTACGGTGTTTTGTAATCAAGCATTATCAATGCAATATGAGCAAACAGAGATGGTAAATTGTAACATGGTGTTAAATGTTAGTCAACTCAAATGCATTTTAAAACATTGCTAGAATATTTGTAATAAGTCTTGTTCAGTGTTATAATTATAACAGAGTATGTTTACAAAAGTCACCACTACAACAATTACAGTTACATTAAGTTTGTCTTCACAATTAGAGAACTAGAACAGATTATTGTGAAACTAAATTAGCATAATGTTTTTATTAATTAATAAAATCAATAGTAGGCAGTTTAAGTTTTGTAAAGATATAAGCAGCAGGAGTGTTAATAACCATAAAAGGTGTTGCTACATGGTATACTGTCAATTTTGCTCAATGGCCAATTTCTGTAATAACCACTTAATAATAAATTCATCAGTTTATTAGCCTACTAGCAGGTGCTCTAAGGTAGTCGTTTTTTATTAGATATTTTGAGTATATATTATCGTAGTCATGATTTTTCACTTAGCTCAATTAATTTGAGTAAACTGTAGGCAAAAAAAATTAAAAGAAAAAAGTCACACAGGTTTTTTAAAAAATTTTTTTTTAAATATTTTTTAAAAAAATATTTATTTATTTATTTTTTTAAATATTTATTTATTTTTTTTTAAAATTTATTTATTTATTTATTTTTTAAAATATTTATTTATTTTTTTTTTTTTAAAATATTTATTTATTTTTTTTTTTTAAAATATTTATTTATTTATTTTTTTTTAATTTTAATATTTATTTATTTATTTTTTTAAAATATTTATTTATTTATTTTTTTTTTTTAAATATTTATTTTTTTTTTTTAAATATTTATTTTTTTTTAAATATTTATTTTTTTTTAAATATTTATTTTTTTTTTAAATATTTATTTTTTTTTAAATATTTATTTTTTTTAAATATTTATTTTTTTTTTTAAATATTTATTTTTTTTTTAAATATTTTTTTTTTTAAATATTTATTTTTTTTAAATATTTATTTATTTTTTTTTTTTTTTTTTAAATTATGCCTTTTCTTTTCAGAGGTACAAGAGATGGAAGAGAATCTCCCAAAAACCTGCAATGTCAATTTTGAAAATCCCAACGTATTGCACAAGTTTGATTTGTCCATTCATCCTGATGAAGGTTACTGGCATGGTGGGACTTTTCATTTTACAGTAGATGTCCCAGATGAATACAACATTGTGGTATGTATGAACTGTCATCTTCTCTTCTTGTGTCCGCGTGGTGGGAGTTATGATTTTTATATTATGGGAAGTAAGAACATGGTTTTTGTTGTGGAGAAAGAAAGTTTTATTTTTTTTTCTCTTTTCATTTCTATAAATTTTAAGAAGATCCTTGCTAATATCACAGATATTCTTTTCGAATTCCCTTAGTATGTGAGAGTTATTCCCCTTGGAGACAGTGATTCTAAGTTACCTCCCTGGAAATCTCGTCCCGTTTAAAGAAGTTTCAGTGTTCAATATTTTATACTACTAATTAAAATAATTAAAAAATTTCTTTTAATTAAAAAAAAATATATAATATAAACACTTGGGTAGTGGTAAAGATCATGTTATGTTTATTTTTTTTTTCCATAATGTCTAATCTAAAGCGACAGATTTGGTTTTATTGATGAATGCTGAGAATACCATAGACAGAACATACGAGAAAAGTTTTAAGCAGAATAGAAACTGCTGCTAACAACCTGAAAGAGAGCTAAAAGTTTTGGGACTCCTAATGAGAAAAAAGGGTTTGGTAAATTTAACATGCATAGGGGATATTCATGACAAATGAAGCAAGGCAAAACAGTAACCTATTTGGTGAGTTTAAATGGATGGCAGAACAAAAGACTGGAGATAAAGGGATAAGTGTTTCTTTGAATAATGCAAGACAGGAAGTTGTGAAGAGCCATGTGGAATGATATGGCTGATAAAAATAGTGTATGTATGAACCCTGTGCTTAGGATCAAAGCTTAGTTTCCCCACCAGCACTTCTGCTGAGGATTATTTTAATATTTTTGTTTTGGGTAAAGATTGTGTGCATAATATATATATATATATATATATATATATATATATATATGAGATGTGCGGTTTAACTGAAAAAAACAACTTTTTTTTTTGGTTTCATTTTTATATTACTACTGAGTAGCCATATCCAAAGAAACACTATTGAAAAAAACTTTCAGATGTTAATAAAATTAAATTTTATTAACATTTATACCATTGTAAGAGAAAAAGATTGAACAAAAATGTTAAAAACATTTAATTGACTAGTTTTAGGAAATAAATGTGAAATCTATTTGTTTACAAAAGAAATGAAGAAGAAAAGGAAATATGACATGTCTGAAGGTGAAATCTATTTGTTTCAGTTTTAAAAAAACAAAACAACTTTTGCGTTAAAACTAACAGCAAAATAGCGAGTAAAAATAAAAAATAGTTGCCAATTTCATCTTAATGTTATGAAGTCTGATTTTTGTAAGTGTTTTCTACTAAGCCATTATGCCAATCACAAAATAAAGCTGTTGTAATCAAGAAAAATGAAGTTTTTTTTTTTTTTTTTTTTTAAATAAATTTGTTTTTTATCTAGGGTATGCACCTAAATTAGATATTAAGAATAATTAAAATAGTTCTTAATTTCACTTTTAAGATGTGTATATTTCCAGATATGCAAGTTATTTTTCCCCTAAATAAATTTTTTATCTAGTGAATACACCTAAAATTAAATATTAAAAATAATTAAGAGCTTTTACTTTCATTTTTAGAATGTGTAGATTTCCAAATCTGCAAGTGTAACCTGTTCTTTTTTAGATACACATTTTAAAACTGAAATTAAAAGCTATTTTAATCATTTTAATATAATCTTACTTAAGTGTATTATTTGTCATAGAGTAAAGATTTTTGTAAAAATAAAATGAATTAATTTTCTTTGTTTAGAAGAATTTTATTTTAACCAACACCCACCAAACTATTAGTGGCTAAAAAAGAATAATTTTTACTTTGGGTTTAAAAAAATGACTTGCAGTTTTGAAAATATACACATTTTAAAACTGAGATTAAAACTTTTTTTTTAGTATCTAATTTTACGCGTATTCACTAGATAGAAACAATTTTATTTGTAGAAAATTTCATTTAAACTATGAGAGTTATCTCCCCCACACAAATTGATGTACACCTGATAAAGGCCAGAGGGCACAAAGATTAAAACTTAATAACAAAGATGAAGACAATAGTTTTCATGTAAATAGTGTAAATAATTTTTAAGTGTGTAAAATTTAATGGTTTTATTATAGAAAATGACAATATGTCCAATATCTTAATTTTTATACAAATAACTGATACTTGGTTTATCAACCTCCTTACAATTGATTGATATTGCCTTTTACATTTCTTTGAGTTGAGATCATAGGCTTGAGATATCAGATGATATGTGAGCCAAGGTAAAATTCTTGGAATATTGAATACTAATTATCAATGCTGTTTGGCCCTTCCCACTTGGAAAACTGATGTAACATAATCTTCCTATTCCTGTTCTATCCTGTGTCAGATCAAGCTAAACTTAGTCAATGTTTGAATTAGATCTGTAATGTCATAAAATCCAATTTTTGACTGTTGTACCTTTTGAGAATGTTTCTGAATATAAAGTGAAGGTTTATGTTGTGTGGCTTATATTGTGTGGCTTATATTTAGGGTTGTGTATGAAGCCTAAATATTCTTTTTGCTCTTTTATCTCTGTTCTTTCTATTCTCTTCTATTTTCCTCTTTTTGCAGCCCCCCAAGGTTCACTGTGACACTAGAATATGGCACCCCAATATTGATGAAGAAGGAGAAGTTTGTCTCAGTTTGTTACGACAGAACTCTTATGATATGATGGGTAATTGTCAAGTCTGTGTTACTTGTATTTCAGTATGAGTGTATAAACCAAACTTTGCATTATCCTATTACAAATATATGAAAATAAGTAATAATAATTATCCTATACTTTTTAAGTACATTGTAAATGAACAAATAGAAAGACACTGTCTGAGTCTCATTATCATTCCAAGACTTATTCAGACAGTTTTTTTGTGTGTGTGTGTATTTATATATATTTATATATATATATATATATATATATATATATATATATAAAATGAGAGGGTGATGGTGAACAGAGAATGTTGGCTTGATCCATTTCCAGCCCTATGAGCCACGCATACAGCTTGGACCATTCCCAGCAAGCTGTGTAATGGGTGATTCAAATTCATGCTTCAGGATGTTCTCTTGAGCAAAGAAAGTGAAATCGCATTGAAATCTACATTTGTCTGATTTAGCTGTCTGACAGGTTGATGTATGCTGCTTAATTTTCTTACCTTTTAATGATGTTTCTTATCTGTTATTTGAACTGTATCTCAGTAGACTATAATGTGAGCCATTACAACTTCAGGTTTTATATTTCTTTTTTAGATATAGATTTGTTTCTTGAGTCAGACTTGAAGATGTCTAACTCTCTCTTGTATGTTTTTTTTTTTCTACTTTTTTTTAATGGGATGTTATAAATGTACTCTTTAGTTAAGCACTTCTCTCAAGAGGGACTATATTTTATGAGGAAGTTGAGAAGAGTGGTTGTGCTATTGAAAACCATCCTGATGTTGCAATGTCCACAATGTCTTTAGATTCATTCAACCATTCTTTTTGTTGTGTAAATGAAAACCCCAACCACCTGAAAAAGATTAAAAAAACAAAATGACTTACTGACGCAGAGAGTTCACACATGCCTTGCACATGAAATATCTAGAAAGAAAATGCCCCCCACCCCAGTCAAAATATTTAAAAACAATAAGGTCACTTGTGACTTTCCCAGATATAAACACAAAACCAAATTACTGCAGACACCTTTTTCTTCCTTAGTCTTCCCTTGTGACGAGTGAGTTGTTTCAGCTGTTGATCCTGGTGTGGCTCGGAGGTAATTCTAAGCTGTTGTTGTTAACATGAATTGTTCTGAATTGCTTGTGAATTGTGTTTTTTTTTTTTTTGGTGTTCCCAATGAACTCATTTGACACTGATGGTAGAAACCATTTCACATTTAGTTGCACTTCTTATGCATGATGGGATAGTTGTAGTTGAATAACTGCTGTTTCTGAGATTCATCTATCAGAACCAACATAGAACTATTACTTTGGTGGTTGCTTCTTCAGTTTTCTCTCCAAATCAATGCTGAATACTTTTGCCTTATGTTAAGAGCAATAAACTAAACTTAACACAGAGGGGATAAGTTGAATCAAAATCTCTACCCACCCACTCTCTGTACAAGTTACTTGGATGTTTCAAAAAAGAATTTTGTTTTGGTCCTCATTTTTTTTTCTATTGTGAATAATATAGTCTAATTGAGTTCTCAGGATCTAACAAGACCTGTACATGCAATTGGTGGAGGTCAACTTTACCAAATAACAGAAACCACTTTATTTGAAGACTTTCAACAGCAGCAACAACTAAAATGAATAGCACATGTAACTCAAAGAGAAAATAGTGTCATAATCAAAATGATTGTGTCTCTATTTTCTTGAGTAATATGGATTGTATCCCAAACAAAAGTACTGTACCAAATAACAGAAACCATATCACTTGTAGACTTTCATCAGCAGCAACAACTAAAATACCACATGTAACTCAGAGAAAATAATTAACACAAGATGTTGTCATTCCACACTATTTCAAATAAAAGTTGAGAAAGGAAACTTCCATCAATACTGAAAAGAGTGTTAACAGCTATTGGACTTGAGAAAACATCTTTTAGCGATGGGTAATATGTACAAATTCTACTTAACTCCTATTAGGTGCTCAAGACATGGGACCTCTCTGAGAGAACACCCATTCATTGTGTTAGGTGAAAATTTGGGATGCCTTAACTAATATAGCTACAGAAGACTATGGTGAAACTGGATATTAATTTTAAGTCATCTTGCCAACTTTTTTTTTTTTTTTTTTTTTTTTAAAACCTTTTCACTATATTGCTTTTACTATTTAGTAACAAGTTCGTTACTTCAATAAAACATGATGCAAAAGAATACTATAATTAAGGAATATGCTCCAAAATTGGCAGTTAAAATAATTCAGCCTAGAAATGAACTAATATGGGATTTATGCCAAATTTTGAATGTATAAAAAGATTTAATACTGTTATCTTGTTTGATAAATTGTTTGAGAACTCTTTTTTTTTTCCATTTTTTATTTTCTTCTTTAACCAGGATGGGCTCCTACACGACGCCTAAAGGATGTCATTTGGGGTCTTAATTCTTTATTTTCAGTGAGTAAAATCTTTTGTTTTAAATTTCCAATTTTTTTTTTTTTTGTTTTAACTTCTAAAAACATGTAAGCATTACACTTGAACAAGAGAGAAGATTGTAACACAGTTGATGCATTTTGTTTGTGTAAGTAAAATCAGGAACAAACAATAGGAAGGGAACGGGTTGGCCCAGCACCGCCTACTTCCAGAAGAAACAAGACTCCTCAGCTTCAAGACAGGTTGCTCAAAACAATTTAGCTTCAACACTCAATAACAACACCGCCTTGTAGTTTGCTACACACGATCTCCCGAGTGGTCTCCCGCTGTCACATTTATGCCAGCTGACCTTCACACACACAACCAATTTGCATACGGCTCCAAGTTCACCTCTTGCCAATCCTGGACAGTTACTTATGTTGAGATCGCCTTTTCCCATAAGACGGACTCAAGAATATGGTGGAACATGGTGTTTCTTCCTTCGATCATCCTATTGCCCCTGCACGCCAGACACAAACTAACCCTCTTATGTTGAGAGCTAAGGTTAGTCTCACCTTCATGTCCACAGTTTGTCACCTCAGATGGACTTCAAGAATGATGGTTAGAAAAATGGTAATTACATAACATCTCCCCTTAATTTTTTTTTTTTTTTTTTTTTTTTTTTATCGCTTCATTGCATATAAAAGAGGATTGATAATGAGTTTAAAGGCATTCTCTTGTGAAATATATGCATACCTACAATATTTTTGAAACTGATTAAATCCTTTATCCAAAATTTTTGAGACTGGAAGTATTTCAGTTTTTACATTTTCTTTATTTTGGAATACAGGCTATTTAATTTGTATATAGCATCTATAAAATGGGGGCAGCTTGGGAATAAAATCCAAGCATTTACATTTCATGACAGCTTATACATATACCATGAAGAGGGTTTTATATAAATAACATATACCCTGAAAGTAGTTATATAAAATTTAATAAATTTAGTCTACATATGGTTAATGATGCTAGCCATGTAATGTTCACATGGAGTTTTAAGTGGTGAAATTGTATTTTCTGTACATGTACAAAAAAAAAAAAAAAAACATGATCATTACTTAGAAAAAATATATATAAATGCAGGACTTTCTGACATTTTGAATAATATGAGAAACAATGAAAGGCATGACCTTTTAAGCCCTTTACAGCAAGGAGGCATCATTTGTATTAAAATCCCCTAATGCACTGATGTTCACAGTTCTTGGGATCAAAAATTCAAACCTAAGGCAAAAAATGGAGAATGTCCCACACAAAGTTTTTAGATATAAAGCTTTAAGAAAAAAAAAAAAAAATCAACATTTAGGTTGATTGTGTTTGTTTTTTTTTTTTTTTTTTTTACAAGACAGCTTTTTTGTGGGAGTTGGGTGTATTTAATGTTAAATTTTGTAAGAGACAACCTAGTGAGAATCAAACACCTTACTCATTAGTAATAGTATTGGTAATATTAGCTGTTTCTTTATAAAGGAAACATTTGACCGAGTAGCCAATACTACTTTTGGTTGAAATTTAGAAAATCTTTTAAAACAATTTTTCAGGAAAGTAGGTTTCTCAAGTCCAGTAGGTGTTATTGTTTTTTCTAGTACTGATGTAGGGTTTTCTTCCTAGCATTTTGTTTGAAGTAGTATAGAACATTAACATCTTGATTGTCATTATTTTCTTTTTAACTTGAATGTGATATTCATTTTACTTGTTTGTTTGATTCTGTAGTGCCAGTCCATGATTTAGAAGTAGGATACTCCTTGATGAGACCTACAGGCTTCATTCGTTCAAAGCCATCTTTAACCATCTGAGAAAGTATACAGGTTGCATATAGTCGACAATTTAGATATTTCTGAACAAATTTGGTGCCATGCATGGCGTCCATATAAAAGTCTTGATCTGACGTGACTATTTAAGGACATAAGTTTTTAGGTTAATATTTTGGTTTCATGGCAACTTGTGGCATTGGGCAAAGCTACCACTAGCACAGCTATTTCTATGTTCATTTTTCTTATCTCCTATACTAAATCTGTTATAGCTGAAGGTTTATAGCCACATCACATTTAAACAGCGGTTCCCATATGATCATTGAAGTCAAGCAATGTTGAGTCTGATCAGTATTGAGGTGGGTGACCACTTACAAATATCAGCTGCTGTATGCTTGGTTGTGCAGGTGGTGTAATGAATTATGGCTCAGAATTGTTAATCAGAGAGCCAAGTTCCAATTCCCGTTGGGTTTGTTATATTCACTTATGTGCAAATATCCTTGGGAAAGGTATGAATCCACCTATTCTCCCTCCAGGCTATGGATTAATTAGTAAGACTTGTATCACTAAACCATTCCCCTCCCCTAAAGTTCTTACAATCTAAAAATATTTTCTGGCTTTAAATAACCTGCAAAGTATTAAGCCATAGAAAATAAATGAATCGATCTATCATGTTATAGCTGATGCATACACCAAGGTATTTGAAGTTTTTAGCATTTACTAGTTCCATATTCTGAATTCTTATAATGGATTCAGGGCAAGGGGCTACCATTGCTTTCATTCCAATTTCAAAACAAAGTTTCTGTTTTGAATAGGTTTATCATGATTCTTGTTACACTACTACTACCATTATCATCATCCCAACTATGAATACCTATGTCACTGATATGTCCCTTTCTCCTATACATTGGTTTTGGAAGGGAAAGCAAGAACACTCTTTTTCTATTCATAGATTCATCTGGGATATGGTATAAAATGCTTAAATGATCAGAGCCCATATCTTCACATCTGTGCTTGTGTGTGTGTATATATATATATATATATATATATATATATATATATATATATATCTGCAAACTAACCTTGATAACCATTATCTCATGCTCAAAAAGTTAGGCTGGTTGATTTGATCTCACATCAGTCCTTGTTGGGTTGTTGAATTTTGTGTGGGGGCACCCGGTGAGGAACAAACTCATTACTCAGTAGTAATGGCCAACCAGACTAATTTGATAACCATTATCCCAAAAAAATCATGTGCATTGAAACTGAATGAGTTGGAAAAAATTTCCATGACAATAAGAGACAATGCATAAAAGATTATAAGGGGAATAAAACCAGTAACCAAAATTGATTCTAGGCATTTGCCTGGACAAGGTTGGAGAATGGACTGGTTGAAAAATAAAAAAGTCTTAATCCCTAGAAATTACTTAATGGTAATAACAACTTTTTTTCACAAAACAATTGTTTTATTAATCCTTGTTGATATTTTGATTTGGATAAACATTTGTTCTTTTTCAGGATCTCCTAAATTTTGATGATCCCCTCAATGTGGAAGCTGCCGAGCATTATGCACGTGATAAGGTGGGTTTTGCCAGAAAAAAAAAAATCTTCTTTTAGTTAGAACAGTCTCTTTGTTGCTGAAAAAGATTTTTTTTCCATTTTTAAAGAAGGAAAAAAGGAATTGTCTTAGAAGATACTCTCTCTCTTATATATATATATATATAGGCATGTTTCATTAAAAATGACAGACAAGGTACTACGATTAAGCTTTTTATTTAATTTTTCTTGTGTTCAAACAAGTGTTTTCCTTTTTGGACAGAGAGTGTAGAAACTGTCCAACACTTAATATTAACTACAAACACAGCCACAATGTGCTGTGTTTGGAAAATAAAACATCTCTATAACACTAAAAACATACGCAACACACATCTAATTAAATTGAAAATAGAATCATCCTTGATAATGGCTAAAAGTATAGCTGAAAGCACTTGGAATTATAGAACATTTAGACAGTTTCTAAACATTCTGTGTCCCAAAAAGTAAACACTTGTTCGAACACAAGAAAAATTAAATAAAAAGCTTAATTGTATTCCCTTATCTGTCATTTTTAATGAAACATGCATAAATGAAGGATTTCTGCCTACATGCACTATATATATATATATATATATATATATATATATATAATCAGGAAATAATAAACTCATCATGGGGGCGGGGAAAATAGGGATGTATTTTGTTTGTTATGCAAAAATGTATTTGTATTAACAGTTACTGTTTGTAACCATTCAGTGTAGAACTATAATTTCTCTTTTATTATTAATGTCTGGACAAGAAAAATATATGTGCTATGAAGAAACAATTTCACTGAACAATACCCCCCCCCATATACTTTTCAGTGGAAACTTAGCAGGTTCGAATGAAATTTTTCTTTTTGATATTGATTGCTAAATTTACTGTACATGCTGATGAAAATGAACCTGAATATGGTCATTACTCTTCAGGAATACATATTTTCAGCCACATTCATGGACGTTCTCAAATTTACAAGCCTTGATAAACCAGCGGCATCCTTGCCTCTATGTATATAAACATGTGCAACATAATAAATCTTACATTGCCTTGATAAAGTTCTTCAGAGAATGAAACGTGTCAGCTAAGTATAGTTTTTCCTCATCTCTTTTTATTCATATATGTTTTTATATATATATATATATATATATAAAATGTCGATCAGTTTCTTGCCAGCTCACTTTACTTTTTACCCTGCATAGATTGGTACTTGAATAGCATGTTTTATTATATTGCTTGGTAAGTAAGTCTTCTGTTTGTTAGTTTGATTGCATTGTGAATATTTTAACACTTAGAACAAATATAAGTCACTCTCAAAAATATCTATTGTATATATTTGAATTGGAACAAATAACTTTAGTAACTGCATTTTGATTGTTACTGCTTGGGTAAGCAAAATATTTATGGAGAAAGTGGTATACTCGAGTGCTTGCTTATTTCTCTATCAATTATTGTGACATGCCAGTGATGAGACCTTTTATCAAGATATCTTGCAAAGGAGCAAAATGCAAAGAGAAGTGGTTCATGTTTTTTTCAGTGGCATTTAGTGTCAAGCTTATGTAATAAAGCTTGACACTAAAATTCACTGAATGTTTTAACTTGATTCTTCCAAGTTATTTATTTTTTTTCAATGTCGTTTGTTTTCTCCATTTAACCAGTCTATACATGACTTTTTAATTTTTTTTCTTTTTTACAACATAAAACAAGGGTTTACTGATGTATAATAATAATTCCAGTTATTTTTTTTCTCTTACATTTTTCAGGAATCTTTTAAATGCAAAGTCCAAAGCTATATAGAATTGTATGCAACCAAAAGGTAGCAGACTGTAACAGCCGCGGCAGCAGCAGCAGATTTCTCCTTTTATTTTCTCTTTCTATCTTTTACTTCTTTTTCTTTCATCCAATAGACTTTTTGCAAAAAAAAGAAAAACAAAAAACAAAAATAAATTTAAAAAAGTTACAATCAATTTCAAATATGAAAATTTTTAACAATGGTAAGAATCTTCAAAAGAAACATTGAAACAAATTTAAGTTTTTAAGAAATTGAAAAAAAAAATTTAAGGCTGAATGTGAACCAGAAAATATTTCTTGAAGTGGAGAATTATTTTAATGACTTCTTTTTTTTTTTTTTTTTTACCTGGTCTTAAATTTGATATTTGTATTTTAAAATTCTAATGTTTTAAAGTCATAAAAAAGAAGCATTACCAAAAAACTGGTAATGTCTTTGAAAACTTACATTTTATTTTATTTTTTTTTTTTTTTTTTGTGCACTAGACTAAAATTATTCAGTTCTTTATAATTTTTACTTTTATAAATTGGATAGAATTAATTTCTTGTCTATTTTTATTCTTTTATAAAATCTCATTAATGTTCTGAAAAAAAAAAGTCAAAATTTTAAAGTCGGAAAAAATGTCCTAAATTTGATACCAGGTAACAGTCTATTTTCTTCTCAAACTCCAGTTTTTTTGTTTTAACAATGTTTTCTCCCTCACTTTTTTTAACAACTTCACACACACACACACACACATCCACGCAAAAAACAAAAACTTCAACATATTGTGGGAGCAGTATTTCCTCTTCAGCAAATGTTTACTATTTGCATTTTAATAATTCAGCTTCCACTTCAATATATTAACACAGAATTCTCAATGTTCTACATTCTTTTTATTTAAAAAAGAAATATTTTGAAGAATTTGAAAATGTTTGGTTTTAATTATGAGTTAAAAGAATTCACCAGTCCTGTATTTTTTTTTACCTATGAATCCCTCCTTACTCATAAAAAGGAATCATTAAATACTTTTTTTTTTTTTAATATACATATTTCATCTTATTTATTCTTAGACTGAAAGAAAGAAAATTTTCTAGCCCTTCCCTCTTCTCCACCATGTACAGCTTTTTTGTTTTATTAAAAATGCCTGAAAAGAAAAAAGAAAAAAAAAGTTTTGAAATTTATTAGGTGTGTGTGTGTATTTTTATTATCTACAACAAAAACATACCTAGTTCGGTACTTATCTTGGATCACCCTTCTGTGTTTGGTACTATTCCGTGTCTTCTCTTCCGGCCACCAAAAGTTCTTAATGACAACACTAAAGATTATTTAAATTCTGACTATTGTGCTCTCTGGCCTTCATCAAGTATATATCAACCTGGATAACCTCCAGGGAATTCTGGACAGAACCCTTTATTTAATCTACTGGGGATAGACTTCTCTAGTTCCATTGCCTGTGTCTAGGGATATCTCATCTTGTTCTTATTTTTACTACTTCTCAGTAACTGCTTCAAGCTCACCACAGAAAATTGTTCTACAGAACAACAGCTTAGTGGATTAAAGTGTTGGTTTGTGAATTTGGCAACATAGTAATTGTGAGTTCAATCCCTGGGCCAGCCAGTGTGTATTTGGGTGAGCAATAACTGAGCAGTACTAAAAATAAGAACTAAATGAGATATCCCTAGACATGGACAGTGGGACAAGAAATGTTGTGATAACACCAAAGATGAGGATCATAGTCTGAATGTAAATAGTGTAAATAATGATAACTCTTCATAGATATTAACAAGTCATTATGTAAACACATTTATACTTATTCACATTATTTACATTATTTGGACTGTTATCTTCATTGCCATATTCACAAAGTTTCAGTCGTTGTATACTCCGGCCTTGTTCAGGTGATTGGAATTTTGAACAGAATCCTTTATTTCTTCCACTGGGGTAGATTGTTCTAGTTCCACATGCCATACCTCTTCCGGATGTCTCAGTTATTTCTCTTTAACTCAACTCTCGAGGTTTTGATTCACCACTGCCCTGGCCTGCTATTGAACTCGCAACTCTGGGTCTAGTCACTGCATTTTTTAACAGAGCTTATATTGCATTTTTTTGTTGTTAATTGCAGTAACAGAAAAAATTGCAATATGAGCACTGATAAAAAAAAATATTTGCTGAGACATTAGGTTTATAAGCCCCAATAAAATTCATACACAGATCGAAAGAGTTGTGAGTTCAATACCAGGCCACAACAGTGAACCAAAACTTGGATAGTTGAGTTAAATGGAAATAACTGAGATGTTTGGAAAAGTCATGGCATGTGGAACTAGAACAATCTACCCTAGTTCTAAAGGCTTTGGTTCAAAGAAGGCTGAATAATGTAAATAATGCAAGTAATTATATCTCATCTCAGAGATATAGACAGATATTTATATATGTTGTACAATGCTGGGTGTATATATTCTAAAGGAACAATTGTATCATTACTATTCCTCTGGCTTTTACCAGAGAAATGTTCCTGAAATTCAGGCTATTGTGTCTACTGCTACTTCTAGGTGTAAACAAACAATATAGCATTGAACAAAAATCAGACAATGAAGAATATATTGTATTTGATAGCATAAAAGTTACATGGTGATATTAGATAGAACGCCTTACCATTTCAGCAAGGCATAGTCAGAAAAATATTTTAAATCTATTTAAATAAGTTATTAGAACATTAGAAAAGATTACAAAATCATTTTACTATAAAGACAAAACTGTATATAAAAAGATAGCAGCAGAGCTTGAACATAAAGCAAGAAATAATGGTAGTGAAAATATCCAACATGATTATGAAAACAGTACTGACAGTATTTTGTTATTACTTTTAGAGTACTATTACTATTGTTGTTGTTGTTGTTGTTGCTACTACTACTACTACTACTAATGATGATGATGATAGTAGTAGTAGTAGTAGTAGTATCATTTGAGCAAATAATAAACCTGCTAAATGTAAGAGCCACATATGATAAAGTTCAAATTAAACTTCCTTTTAATCCAATGGCGTTTCAATTCCTATCCAGTAAATAATTATAAAGCTTGAAATTTTTTTTTATTTACATTTTATATTAACTGTGATATAAGGAGCTCAAGCAATATATTACCCCAAGCTACATATTAAAGGTCAAAGAGCTGCATGTAGCTTGGGAGCTGTGGTTTGGCCGCCCCTGTAACATAGTGTCTGTTTTGGAGTGACAATCTGATATGAAGTTATAGCTTACATTAGTGAATGCTTTGGACATAAAATTAGCCTACAGAAAGTTTCGCTTTTGCATATAAGATGCAGGGTGATTTGATATACTTTAAAAAAAAATTTGAAAAGAAGTATCTTATATGCTGTTAAATGCAGTACTTATAACTAAATTTGAATGACCTATGCTGGTTAGGACTAAGGTAAAGTGCTGTTCTGGTTAGGCAGATTCTCATGGATAGGGTACGTGAGTTCAAATATTAGATGTGGATTTTTTTTTTTTTTTTTTTTTTTTTAAACCTAATCTGTTTAATAGTCATAGAATGTAAAATGACAAGCTAGACATTGTAATTTAAAAAATAGAAAAAGCGTTGAGTGGTTGGAGGAAAGTAACAGAAGAAAATGAAAAAGACTAATAATGGGGTGTGGGGGGATATGCCAAAATTAATATTGCCTTCATATTTTGGTCCTTAGGCTTCCTTGACTCAGTGTTGCAATTGGTGTTTAGAATTCCATAAGCACTAAATGTGATGAAAGTATATTAATCTAAACACTTACAAGAGGGTGCTGAACAGTTTGCTTCATGCCCCAAAACCAAACATGAAAATCTATTTTTTTGGCGAGTGGGATCAAGCCAAGAACTTTTCGACTCCTGATTTGTAAGTAATACTCATTTTAAAAATTTGACATTATTGCATATGAAATATTCCATTTCATGTATCTTGTCCATTTTAAATTTTTTTTTATTTTTTATTTTTTTTTTCTGTCACAAATTTTTATATAGTTGAAAAGTCCAGTTGAAAATCTAAACAATGGAATAAAATTTCAGCCGAAAGGTTGAAAACTCAAGCAACAATTTTTTTTTTTTTTTTTTTTCTAAATTGTCATTCACAAAGAATTAAAACAATTTTTTCTTTATTTTAATTTAAAATGGAGTGCAAAGATATTTAGACATCAGATTTAAGATAATCTTTCAAATATCAGATGAAGTATTATTGTCAATGTATTACTTTTGGACAAATACTTTCTCTCTTTCTCTTCGGACATTATTCTAAAATTTCAGCAATGGCAATTTTCAAATCTGTTGGCACAGAAAATTATGACCTGAAAAGTGTGATATAAAGAAAATGAAATAAGATAAAATATACAAGTCAAAAGTTAATGATCATTCATTTGTAAAATATTTCTTATTATGATTATAATATTTCTTAGAATTATTATAATTACTATGATTATATTATAATAATAATATTATAATAAACAAAATGATTGACGTAACTCTTCCAATATTTTTCAACAGTCAAGAGAAGAGCACAATTTAAAAAAGAAAAAAAAACAGTGTCTGACAATGCTAAACAATATTTTGAGTATATCTATACTGGTACCAATATAGCTGTTTTTTTCAGTACAAGACCTGCAACGTTTATACAAAGACTAAATTTTTTGTAAATTTACATTTTTATAATTGTAAAAGATTTTTAATATAACTTAGACACTTACTGTCAAGATGTTTAACATTATCAAACACTTTTTTCTTTTTTTAAATCATGCTCTTCTCTTAACTATATTATAATAATAATTATTATTATAGTAATAATTTTTTTAATATCGTTTCTCTGTGGCTCTCCATATCGACTATGAATTTTCTGACTTCTTACCAAAAGATAGTGTAAGGCCTTTGTATTGCCTTCTTTATGGTTTTCTATTTAGAATATTCTTTCTTCTTCCCTACCATCAAACACTAGAAAGCAGTCGATTTTGCTGTCAAGCCCAACAATTGGTATGAGTAGAGATGGTTTGCTTTTTTTTGGTTTATGCAAGTA